CCCCATGCGATGGGACACAGTGCGCCCATGACACGAAGGAACAGACCTAAACACAAGCCTGTGGTGGCCGGACTGCCCTCAGGGCCCCGGGTCCTGCCTCCCTGGACCCACATTCTCTGTGGCTCTCGCACGGACCTGGGCGTGGCCGCGTGACTGCTCCGATCACAGGACAGTGGCAAAGCTGACACACACAGCGCTTGGCAAAGGCCGTAGCTGCTTCTGCTTCCCTCTTGCTTCTCTGCGGCCGCCATGAGAACATGCTCGGGCTGGCCTGGGCCTGGGCCTGGGCCTGGGCCTGGGAGGCGGGAGGGCCTGGGAGGTGAGAAGCCCAGCCAAGGGCAGTGATGACACTGAGCTGACCCCCAGCTGCCCGAGGATGCACAGCGAGCCCTGGCAAGCCCAGAATCTTGCTGTTTTAAGGCACTGAGTTTTGGGGTGGTTTGTCATATAGTAGATAACAACCTCAGAGACAGAGGCCCCAACTAGGGTGTGCAGTATATCACTATTATGTGTAAAAAACAAAGCCAACAACAAATGTTCATAAAATGTACAGACACACAGCATATGCCTGAAAGGGCCCCCGGGAAAGTCCAAACAGGGGTTGTTTCTGTGGAAGGGAGGAGAGGGCACGGGGACAGTGCAGGAGGCAGTTACCTTTCACTATATACTTTTTTAAAATACATATTTTTTTTCTTATTGCTTTCAGAGGGGAAGGGAGAGGGAGAGAGAGAGAGAAACATCAATGATGAGAGAGAATCATTCATTGGCTGCCTCCTGCATGCCTCACACCAGGGATTGAGCCCACAATCTGGGCATGTCCCCTTGTCCGGAATCGAACCCAGGACCCTTTAGTCCGCAGGCTGATGCTCTATCCACTGAGCCAAACCAGCTAGGGCAGGGGTGGGCAAACTTTTTGACTCGAGGGCCACAATGGGTTCTTAAACTGGACCGGAGGGCCGGAACAAAAGCATGGATGGAGTGTTTGTGTGAACTAATATAAATTCAAAGTAAACATCATTACATAAAAGGGTACGTCTTTTTTTTCAATAGTTTTATTCATTTCAAACGGGCCGGATCCGGCCTGCGGGCCGTAGTTTGCCCACGGCTGGGCTAGGGCCACTATATACTTTTTAAATGTTTGATCGTTACTACCACATGCATTCATTACCTACACAAAACAACCAGGTAATTTTTTTAAAACCTAGAGCAGCTGGGCTGGTATACAGGAGGGTACACAGGACCCAGTCCATCACCTCGGAACCAAGTGAAGGAGTTCTAGGTCTGTGGTTACCACCGACAGCCCATCTGCCACCGCTCCGGGCCACCAGCCTCTCAGGCACACACCCTCCAGGCCCTCAGCATCCTTCCCAGGCCATGGCAATCTGTCTCTGCTGAGGGTGCCTGCCTGGGCCTGCTGTGCTATCCTCCCTCCCTCATCCTTTGGGATGCATTTCAGGGTCACCTTGGAGAAGCTTTGCCCGGTGCTCTTGGCCTGCGCGAATCATGTTCCTCGAAGCACTTTGCACACGCACACACCAGCCAGCATTCATTCAGGGCCTGTGAGCTCCAGGGACTTCGAGCAGAGAATGAGACAGAGGCTGTCTCTGCCCTCATGGAGCTACATTCCTAGGCAGGTGGGACGAAGAGACAAACAGGACAAGGCCAGACAGCGGTCAGGATGTGCGGAGAACTGAAGCATGACGGGAGTGACCGGCGGCCACTGGAGATGGGTGGTCAGACCAGGTAGAGTCTCCAAGGAGATGTGGATGAGGAGGCTGAGTCGGCCGTGGAAACGGCTGAGAGAACATTGGCTCAGTGCATGGAGGGTCCTGGGGTGGGAACACAGCTGGTGTGTTGCAGGAACCCCAAGAAGGCCACGGTGGCTGCAGCAGAGAAAGCCATCGGGGTGGGGGCAGTCAGAGAGGCAGGTAAAAGCAGACTTGACGTTCTCGTATTTTGTGGTAAAAAGTGTGGCATCATTGGAAGTGCGACTGGAAGTCTTTGGGGTGGGGAGGGGGGATGAGCAGGGCGGTGAAATGATCTGATTTAGGTTTTGAAAAGCTCCCTGTCTGTCGTGTGGAGAATGAGCTTGAGGCTGGAGCCAGGCAGAGGCAAGAGCAGAAATGGGTAGAAGGCCACTGCGGCGATCCGGTGGGAGGCGACAGACCCTTAGAC